GCCCTACATCTTATATAACATTTTGAAGTCACTACTTTTGACACAGCTTACGAGTCTCAGAGAGATCTTTCCAGCTCATGTGATGTAGGACACACCAGGGTCTACAGAGAGTTAAAATTTACGGATAATAGTTTGAGATGATATTTTAATTTTACTTTTTTCTTTGTTCCTTTTTAGAGTTCCTCCCTGGCAACAATTGGGGGCCATGACACAAAACACGTAACATGGAACATCCTGGCCCGCATGTTCAATGATGACATTGGGAAGATGATCAATTGGAAAGGTGTCAACGGAAAGAAGTGTTTCAGGCAGATGGCATCGAAGACATTGCTTCTGGGTAAGTATTTGTAATAAGTGTTTTTTCATTTATTCATTTCATTAAAAAACAAACAAAACATTTCACACAACAAAACAATACAAATAAAATAAAATGAAAGGCAGCAGAAGAAAAATATTCTTATGAAATGATTCCTGCTCCTTTTTTAAATAAAAAACTCAAACAATGATAAACCAAATAACAAAACAAAACAAAAGTTTCAATTCCTCAAACAGTAACTAATACAAATCAAACAATTTCATATTTCTTAACAGTTTTTCTTTGATTGTTTTCTTAAAGAAATTCTCTGATCCAATGCTTTTACAGTCATCCTCCAGACTTTAAGTGGTCTTAAAGACGTGTTGAAAAGTCTTAAATTTAATTTGCCTTTAGCTGTAGAACCCTGTTAAAGGAGGCTTCACTGACAAGTTGTGTTGTGTCACATACTTAACAGTTTCAGGCCTTTCAGCTGATTAGGATATTTTTCTTGTATGTTTTTGTTTAGTTATATTGCATACTCAATACTATTTGCCATTTATGGCATTCTTTCTCAAAATTGGTCCAAAGACAACAGCTTTTCTGCCTAACAATCTATTTACCCTAAATACAAACCTAAATACAAGCAAACCCCCCCTGTAAGACAAGGAAATGTAATGTAGGATTATTTATTGATTTGATTCCTTCATGGACTTCATTGCATCATGGAGTGTTGCTCATCCAGTCACTCTGAGCTGTTTTGGTTTTTTATTCCCTCCTTTCATGTTTTTAGTCAAACATTTCTTTCACAAACTGTGGCACACAAACACGTGTCGTCATTTCATGACAGGATCGTACCTCCTGTGTTTGATGGCTCAGCAAACTGAGTGACTTCTGTTGGGATTCAAATATGTTTCTTTACATATTTGTAGTTTTGAAACACAACAAAAACCTTCTGCCTCTTGATGACACACAAGGAACAGAAAAAAAAAGAGTTAAAATAAAATAAAAAGGGTTTTTTGGAATGACAAAATGGATAAAAAGACCATTTTTCCTTTTGAATATTTCAGATGAATTGTTTGACTCGTCGTCACAGTGTGGATACCTAAAATCTAAGTTTATTTTAGTAAAATCTTGTTTACATTGCCTTCCTGTTGTAGCCTTAACTTTACATCAGATCTAACAGATTTACTATGATGAGTCATTCTGAGCCAAAGACTTAAATATAAAGATGACTGAGCCCCGCCCATCCTGTCCACTGGTGTCTGTGACAACATGGAGCAGAAACAGACCAAACAGGACAACAGCTC